TGGTCGATTAGATGCCGTTGTGCCATTTCATTCACTTTTGGTGCATTCAACAAGCCACAAACCTTTCGTAAAGTACCTTTGCATGCCTGAAAATGTTTTAAGTTGACATCGAACATAGTAGGTCTAACAATATCCATCTCACTCTAATTATTGTCGCATCACCCTCACTCAAATGTAACAAAATTGGAAATAGGTTTGCAATTAATTGCTCCCGCAGCGCCTCTGTAGAGGAAGCATTCGGCGAAATGCTGCCATTGGCATCGTGTGCCTTTTTCGACTCACATAGATCGCCAAAGAGAATAATGGACGCCTCGCGTATCTCGTTTGAATAGCTGCCGAAAAAAGGCCGAATACGTATCGCTAACGAGACATGAAATGATTCTAGACGANCACGGTAGCGATTTGTTCCATTTCTAGATTGCCGAGGAATGCTTGAAAAGTTTCCAATACAATTTGACAGGGATTCAACTTAACTAGATCCTTGTTCGGGACAAAGCCAAACTTCGATTTGTTCGTTGAGGCGACCGTGGATAGTGAGCTGCTCGAGGCGGCGACTCCCTGTTGAGTTGGCGAGTTGCTGCGCTGACTGCCTGCGTGCACAGGTGGCGCCAAGTTCGTGTAGGTGGCCAAAGATGTTAACAGCATGGTAAAGAGTTCAGGGAATTTTTTGTTTAGTTCCTGGAGAGATTTATAAAAAAAATATAAATATGAATTACAAATCTACGGGCCCGTGCTACTTTTTCTCAACTGGTCGAGAGGCATCAAAACTAACTTGAACGCCCCACAATTGGGCCAAGCGTGCTCAAAAATCAATTTTTAAAAATCCTTTTTTTATATTAAAAACACAGGTTTATTCCACATTAAATTCTACATTTGGTGGTAAGCTTTCAGCTTTCTATCATTTTTCGGCTGGGAGATATGCGTGTTTAAACTTGACAAATTTGAACAATGTTTTTTTTTTTCAAAGCTGAGAAATTCAAAAGTGCAATTCAAATTGTTATTGTAAGAAAGCGGCTCATTCCCAAATGAACCCCGGGTGTGTTTGGACGTGTTCTGCGCAATAATAATTGCGTTTATTTACTCATTTCCAGTAAAATCCAGTAAAAGTTTTTACGAATTTTCATGTTTTGGCGTTCGTACGCAAAAACTTGCAAAGTAGGGGAAATTGAGAGAGCGAAAAATGGCAGTTTAAGTTGCAAGTTTTTACTGGATTTTACTGGATAAATAGGAGTGTTCGCTATGCAACTGCCAGTAAGAATTAGCCAGTAACAAAATTCAGAGAACAAGGTACCTTAATCTCCCAAAGACAGAAACTTGCTAAGTTTTGCGCGAACAGGAATTAGCAAACATTAGGTTCATTCCTTATCTTTTTGGACTAAAATCTGAAAAGTGTCAAAATGCCAGAGCGTAAGCAAAATGCGCTCACAAAAAGAGAAAAACCGGAAAAGTAAAGGAACGCAAAAAACCAAATTTTTAGTCCAAAGAATGGCAACAACAAAGCTAACGTCAAATAAGAATGGAAATGTATGTACAAAACACATTCACACAAGCACAAGCATAATAAACACTTACTATGTCAATTATTTTTTGCCTCCTTCCAATTTCAATTCACTTTTTTTACTTTTTAGATTATTCTCACTTTTTGCATGTTCTTTAATTTTCGTTAATTTAAATTTAGTTGAGCTTGACACTTTTCAGGATTTTGCCAGAAAAAATTCTTCTGACTAAATCTGACTACTTCGAACTGATGAGAGTCACTCTCACTGGGTGTTGCTCTCTCATTTTAGCTGTCATTTCCGAGTTAAGGAACGCTTTTTGGACTAAATCTGACTACTTCGGACTTTTTCTGACCATTTATGGGAGATAAGGAACGCTTCTATTAGCAAGCTTCACTGCCAGCTGGCGCCAACGGTTGCATTTCGAGCATAAAAATTTTTTTTTAATTATTCCAGGTGGAAACCGGACCTATACGTATATTTCTTCTTATTCTGACTTTCTTCAACATACACTTCAATCTCATTGTGGAAGTCACTGTCGGATTTCCTATATCGACAGTGGTGTCGAGTTCCGATTACGAATACAGCTTTTTCAGCCGAGTACCTATCCAATGTTTGGAATTAATTAAATTAATTGAATAAACGAATATTTACATACTTCTTTCATTAGTAAATCGCAACAAGGTTGTTCATTTTTAAATTTAACAAACTCGTTGATTCAAATTAATGTTGACAAAAATGCAACCCTGTACCACAATCCTGCTTGCAAATTCTTACTGGCAAAAATCTTCCCAGCACGAATTTGACACTTCCCCTCCAAATGAAATGTCAAAACTATGCTCTCTCCTTGCAAGTTTTACTGGGTTTTTGGCTAAACGAACACGATTTGGTAACAATTGGTACCAACTTGTACAATTTTTTTGCATAGCGAACACTCCTAATGTTTACTTGTAAGAATTTGCCAGTACGAAAAACACCTGATCGCATGTTGCTGCATGAAATTTAAACTATTAAGGAAACTGTTTGTGTGTTTTTATTGTTGAAATTCACAAACTAAACCTATTTAAATATAAAATATATTGTTTTATTAGAAAATTCCTGCGAATAAACAACCAATTTATCAGCTGTTCATGAAACTTGCTAAATATTACTGGAATAGCGTTCGCGTACTTTTTTGTAAATTTCGTCTATGAGAGCGAATTCTTAGAAATAAAGTTACTGGAGAGTTGCTGGCAAGTTACTGGATAATTTGTAAACAAACACAACTATTATAATAGTTGCGTTCGCGTAGCTGTTAATTGTTCATGTTTAACCAAAACTTTCAGGTTTTTGCGTTCGGGTACGCAAAAAACATGCAAAGTAGGGGAAATTGAGAGAGCAAAGCGACATTTTATTTTGAGGGGAAGCTGCTGATTTCTGCTGGAAAAATTTTTGCCAACAGCAATTTGCAAACAGGAAAACAGCTCATCAAAAACAGCTGGCTTGAATTTACCCAAATCACAAAATTGAATTTGATGGTTTGGAAGTTAAAAATAGGTGCGTTCGTTTAAAATCTCCAGCANCCGGCGAAATGTCATCTGTTCGCTCACAAGAGAGAAATATCCAAAATAGTACGCGAACAGAAAATTTGCAGAAACTTGCACGTTAGACGAACAGCTGATATAAATTTTTGTATACATTCAAAAGTGTAAAATTTAAAACGTACGAAAAGTCATCACGAAGTGTTATACTGACACAGTTTATTGATTAAACAAATAACTACTTATTTTTTACAAGTTTGATTAATCGCATTTTGTAATTTTTAACTTCCAAATCATCAAGTTCAATTTTGTGATTTGCGTAAATGCCAACCAGCTGGTTTTGATCAGCCGTTTTTTTACCTGTTGGCAAATTGCTGTTGGTATAAATTTTTCCAGCAGAAACCAGCACCTCCCCTCAAAATGAAATGTCACTTTGCTCTCTCAATTTCCCCTACTTT